GAATATGGCCATATTTGATCCACTATCTTTAAATTTACTGTGGGTTAATCTGTTCTATTGCAATCATATTTCTATCTTTTGCACTTTTTCGTCCCAGAATCTATTGCCACATTTGTGTAGTCACAAAGTCAAAGCTTTTCAGTAAATTTTCTAATTATCTTCTTTGAGGGTAGCCTGAAAACCTGAATAATGGTGAATTTTATTGTAACAGTAACGCTATATCCCTTTAAATTTCGGGGTAATATTTGGCGCGAATCTAGCAATCATGTTATTTGTTCTGTCAAGAATTAAAGATCCCCTTCCGTGTAATTTACTTCACAAACATGTGAATTTTGCAATCTTTTCCCTCGGTAACTTAACGAAATATACTTTATTCGTTGATCCAAAGATTTTTGAACATGTTTGAGACTTTACAAAGGATTTTTAAGTCCAGTACCTCTATTCAAAATTCTTTCAACTAGCCACTCTGAAATATTGGTGGATCTTTTCCTTTAATAATTTATCAACTTTCACCAAATTGACGAAAAGGTGACAGTTTAAAACCATCAGAAACTCAAAACAATTTTTTGGCGGGAAGAGTTGACACGCAGAGCACGTGGATGCAGAATTTTGGTTGCTGATTGGCTTAAATTCAAACTGTCAGTCAAAAAATGGGAGGAGTTTAACGTAAAATCATCATTTGCATATCTTAGGGTGCGCATTTCTGAGCGGGATTTCGGTTTTATCAGTCGTGACTTATGACTTATGATATATTCTGTATTGGATTCTGGATGGTTTTGAATTATTTCGATATATTCAGTGCCAAATCTTTGACTAATATCTGTGGATAGGGATTTATTTGACACTATCTGTATTATTCTGGATGTTTTTAGATTATTTTGTGATTTTTCTATAAAATAATGGATTCAACGATGACACTTTTGGAAGGAGTGACAAATATTGGACACTTATTCACAAGAAGGTAATCCATTTTCTTTAATCAAATTTTGATTGGAAACTTGTAAGGAATATTAACTGGTTTTCTAGAAATAGGGACACCGATAGCATCGATTTGTACCATTCCAATTTTCAGTCAGACCTGTTTTATTTTTCCGATTCCATTAAAACTAGACTTTTTTTGACTTCACTATTGCCGAATCTGCTAATAATATCTACAGTCTTAGTGAAGTTGACGTTATCAAGCGCACGGTTTTACTTCAGTGGAATTGCACAAAAAAAGAAGTTGATCACAAGCACGCATACCTTGAAAGCTTATTTCATTTAGTTCTACCAAACGTTTTGTTAAAGAGATTGTAAAGAGATTTTATCTCTTATGTGTTTAAAGGAGAGACACTGATAGCATCACTTTTCAAAATTCCAATTTTCATTCAGACGTATATGACTCCTGCAATTCCACTAAAACTCTGTTTTTGATGACGTCACCACATCGACTCTATATATTATATATCAGTATTATGTTACGTAGGTCCCTTTGATACACATAAAATTTACTTAACCTCTTTTAAATTTAAGTGTATTTGGGGTTTAAATATTATCGGTTAGTTTGGACTTTTCTCAATCTAGATTCTTACGCGCGTGACCTTGAAAAGTTAGACTCAATGTCACGAGAATAAATTGACAAATAAAAGTTATTTCATGACTTAAAAAATAACATGGCAGATATCAGGAGTATCATTATAGACAACTTTTGTTTGTATTGATATTTTGCACTGGTATTTAAATTACAATTCAAGAATCATGTAGTTTAATGATACTTTTCAGAACCTTTACATACCGTACTTCATACGTTAAAAAGTGCTGTACAAAATTTTAAACTGCTGTGCAATTTAGGCCCATAGAGCAAAAGACTTATGCAAATAAAAAAAAGTAATTTGTACCCTTCAGAGATGAGGGTAGTCTGGTTTAGGATTAGGGGGTGGAGGTATTAAAGAGAGGGTGGCCTATATTTGTTGTTTTAGAATATGGTATTAAGGTAGGGGTGAGGATAGACAGGTTTACAATTAGGGGGTGGGGGTATTAAGGGAAGGTGCCCTATAATTGTTAGTTTATAATAAGAAATTAAGGTAAACGGGTTTAGAATTAGGGGGTGGGGGATGTTAAAGGGATGGTGTCCTATAATTGTTAGTTTAGTGACATTAAGGTAGGGATGAGGGTAGACAGGTTTAGAATTAGGGGGTGGGGGCGTTAAAGGGATGGTTTCCTATAATTGTTAGTTTAGTGACATTAAGGTAGGGATGAGGGTTGACAGGTTTAGAAATAGGGGGATGGGGGTGTTAAAGGAATGGTGTCCTATAATTGTCAGTTTAGTGACATTAAGGTAGGGATGAGGGTAGACAGGTTTAGAAATAGAGGGTGGGGAAATTAAAGGGATGGTGTCCTATAATTGTTAGTTTAGAAGATATTAAGATAGGGGTGAGGGTAGACAGGTTTAGAAATAGGGGGTGGGGGTATTAAAGGGATGGTGTCCTATAATTGTTAGTTTAGAACAAGATATTAAGGTAGGGGTGAGGGTAGACAGGTTTCGAATAAAGAGGTGGGGATGGTTATTAGGCCATATCTATGCAAGATTTTTGTCTTGTGATTTATGAGAAAAGTATGACAGCCCTTTAATACTTAGTAAAATTTTACTTTTTAAAACAATTCACAACACAATGTTGTTTGTATTCTAAAAATTATTATTCTTTTTACAGTGACAGCAGTTCAGAGAAGTCATTAGTATGCAAAGTTTTAAATCGCTTTTGACAAATAGATCTTTTTTATATATGGTGAGTTTTTTTATAATTAACTTTCTGGTTTTTCTGAAAACTACTTGAATTATTTTTCAGGTATTCCAACTGTTAGGCCTAGGTTTAAGCAAGGGGGAATCTTGTGAATTTTTGTGAGGGGACTTTCTGTTACTGAAGGGATGTAGTCCCTTAATTGTTATATTTCAGAGTCTGGTGCAAGTGAAAAAAAACTTTTGACATGATTCAAATGCAGATGTTATTGTTAAGTTTTTTGTTTTGCAGGTGAATCCACTAACCCTGATTTAACAAACTTTATCTATATTTGGTGATTGTGTTTAGAATGAATGACCATCAAGAGTTGTCATAGTTTATGCTAACCAATCCAAAGTACTTTTAAAAATGGTAAGACACTACATCTACTAGTCCATTTAAAACAATAGATACCCTGCAATTCCTGACAGAGCAAGGAAAACTTATATGGTACACAATATTTGATACATACATTACTTACTGTGTATTAGTGGGTTGAATACTAAATGGCCCAGAACAGGACATGAATAACAAATTTGTCAGATCATGTATGCTAAGTGGAGTCACTTGCATAGAATAATAGGAAACATCCCTGTTTTTGCTATTTAATTTGAATAAATGATTTATTACAGGTATGAAATCTTATCATCAGTTAGAAACTTGTTGGTCTATAGATATCAAATTATGTTCCAGTGAGCTGTTAAATGGTGAGTCTTCTTTATGAGTCAACAAACTACCTTGCCCTCCAAGATTGAAAAGTGACCCTTTCTTTATTCATGCCACCTTAAGGGATGTCC